ATTTACCATTGTTAGGCCGACGCCACTGCAAACAAATTCTCAGTTTCTCTTCTGTGCTTTACTCCAACAGTCCTGCTTCTCGTCTAATAATACTACAGTTTAAGAAATATATAGCATCACCCATTTAAGCTACTAAGTTTTTTGAATAATTTTTATCTACAACCAAATCACCTACCCAGACCAGAAAATATTTACATGCGGAATAGATTTTTAACCCATACTAATGATGCGTGAACTAAAGCAGATATGTATTATAAAACAATTGTTATGAAACTACCTATAAGTTCATCCAAAGTTATTTAACGGCTTGGAAAATCAAATAACCTAAATAACTTTAAATTACACAGTGTTAACAAACGAATTTTGGTGAGTATGTACATCAATTCTAGCTAACTGCAGTTACGAACTGATTCTTACTTGGAAGATATGTTATGAAAAGTAGCACTTGCTGATGAAGTACTTTTTTTCCCTAAGATGTGAGCGTTGGTAAAATCTATTGAAATTAATGAAAATGCGGAGCCAAGAAGCCTACATAAAAGTAACAGTTCGTTACTGCTGCAATCATCTTAAGAATGAAAAATGGTAGATTGAAACTGTACCTCAATGCCGAAGGCGGAAGAACGTGTTGAGTAAAATCGAGTACGGGGAATGCGCTTCCGGTCGACTCGATACACGATTCTTCGAAGCGCATCTGATGACATCGTAACAAGAAGAATTAAAGATGAAGAACTTATTAAAAAAATAATAAAAAAAACTCACAAACTGAGTCCAGAACAGATAGAAACACGTGTGGTATACTATAGGGACAATCTGCATAATTGTTACCATAAAGAAGCACTTATAACATTATTGCTATAGACGGGAAATAGAATAATCTCTCCTGCTCGCTAAAAAGAAACTAAGCAAATCGTGCTGTCGAACAGAAAACATAGTAATTTTGATAGCTGTGTCGAATACATTCGGACGTAGGCTGATATCATAGGCATTTGTTGTTACCAGGTGCTGCCTGGCATTGGGTTGGTCAACGCCGTCAAATGTCTTGAACTCCTGAAGCATCTCATGGATCGCGTCGCGACAAGCGACAGGAAACAGTTCGCTTATTCAACGATAATAGAACTTACTGTTGCGTTTCAGTCACACTCTGGGTCGAGAAAAACAGAAGAGAGCAATGGCTTCATCCCCTATATATTATCCAGACTTAGGCATGTGGAATACTAATTGTTTGTACGCTTACAGACGGCGATACGCAGTGTAGGTTATCCTACCGTGGATTCTCTCATACGAGCTTCCGAAAACAGTATTACTAATAGTAATTAAACTAAACGTACTTGGCTGTTTCGAAGCTTCTAGTGTGCTTTCTTCGAATAAAGAAGAGATGCATATATAACAAATACCGTTATTACAGTTATGGCTTACATGATTTAGATGTTAGTCAAGTTTTTAGTCACGCTAAATAGATTCTAGCAACCTAATATAGGACACGTGACTTTCCTAAGCTTGCGCTTAGGAAATGACATGACAGACATGAGCAGATGTCCGCGTATTTCATATTTATAGTCCCGAGGACTTTTCACGGTGTTTACACTTACAATCTGTAGTTCAACAAGGTATTTTTTTTGGATTCGTGTGTCCGAAAAAAGGTATTGACGGCTTCAAGTCAAAACATTTGTCCATGTGTAGAAAGCATTCAAAGGGCTGCAATCCACGATAACCCACGATTATATATATATACATATATACATGATGGTGGAACAGAAATTCACATTAATATAGTATGTTTAGAACTGTAATCTTAACGGCTTGAGAGATTTTATGCTAACGTGCACTCATATGTAAGATATACATACCGGGTTGGGAATGATTCCTTGTAACATCTAGAGATTGCCATTCTACGGCCATTCCATTATTGAAGTATGCTATTGACCTCTAAAATGCAGGGAAGTCGATATTACGAACACTTTTTTTTTTAAAAGTTTAACTTTTAAGCAAAATACATGGTTTTTTTGTCTCAGTTGCCAGCAATAACATAGTCATTTTATATTCCAAAATCTAATAGCAGTCACTCAGTCATGCTCTTAATATTACTCTGGAGAGAAAGTTTCTCTGCGTAGAAACTTCCCTTTCTCATTTTCCTAACTTGGTGTTTACTTTTGTTCGGAAACACTCTTTCTGCTCTATTAGTGTGCTATAGCAGGAGTGTGATATGACAGCAATTTCAACTTAAAAAAGCTTCTTAAATATGGGTGTTCCAGGTATCGAAAATGCACTTCGCTCATGTGCACTCTTGGCACTTTCTGCATTATGTATTTTAACACGGCGAAACGAAACGCTGCTGAAATAGCTCGGCACATATTCCTTGTATGCGGTAATGACGGAAGATTCCCCTTATTGTGATGACAACCACTTGAAGGCACTTTTGCCGATAAACAATTCAAATGACCGAAAAGATTAACTACAGCCACATGGTCGTCGTTAATTATATCAAGTTGTTTAATTCACATTGCTTAAGTACCTCACGAAGCCTCTGAATCTAACAGTTTAACGCTGCATCACAGGAAAGAAGCTATAACAAAAGAGGTTATGTTTCGCGTTTGGTGGAATTTCGAGAACCGGATTTACTGGAGGCGGCATTTTATAAACCAGACAGTCGATCGATACGATTATTGGTCCAGTTGTATCGAGTCAATCAGGCTATCCGAAAGAAAAACCCCGACAAGCGAGATCAGGTCATCCTGCTCGATAATAAGGCACACCCACAAACGAAAAACATGCCTCCGTCAACGCTGGCCTTTTAAATTTTCAATTGAAGGCTTTGTTACATTTTCTATATTCTATGGACCTTGCGCCGGCGGACTTTCACCTTTTCTTTCATTGATCAATTACCTTTGTAGCCTTACCTTCGACACGAATCAAAGATTCAAAACGTAATTGGAACATTTCTTTGAGACAAAACCTATTACCTCCTAGCGAGACGGCATACATGATCTCGTATGAAGATAGAAAAAAAGTCGTAAGCAAGGCTACGAATGCATAAAGTAATACTGTAACCAGAAAAAAAAAGTTGCTCAGAAGAAAACGCAGGAACTTTCTTTTCAATTTATTTGTCTAAGTTACGTAACGTGGCGTGTTATCCTACATAAAAACAATTTTTTCTCTTTAAAACGTTTGACCTTAGAAATGATTGTCGGAAATTGAAGGTTAGATATCATAGGCACTTTTATAAACCCTACGGAAGTTTTTCTTCTTATAAAATACTTCTCAAAGTCTTTTGGTGATTCTATGGAGTATATTGCATTAACCCTATTCAACCTATGGTCATATTTTTAAAGAATAACATATCGTCTGCATGTCACATACCGCAGCTCTAACTGTCATAAACAATATTTTAATGGTATGTTTCCGTCTGACCAGCCTGACTTTGATTATACCGATGTTGGGTAATGACCGTTCGATGGCCATAAGGAACCTGGTGATATATGACAACGGAAAATATCCTATGATCGGGGATGATATGAATAATTGGCAGTCTCTATTATAATGGACATCCTTAACTGTAATAATATTGCAGGATTCTTTTACGAATTATGATCATTGTAAATATATAATATATTGAAACCGAATGGAAATTTCAGCTTTTCCTCTTTATAGGATTGACTTAACCATTTTGCAATTAGGTAATTAAGAGACTTCGTAATTTACTTGGTTTTAAACTACTTGGTTCTCTGATTGTCATGAGCTGCTCCGAAGAACCGAGTCGGTTTTTGCATCTGAGTGGTGAGGACGCGTTGATCAAATGATTTCTATCTAGATTAACAATATAACCTCATTCAATGCCATATAGCCTTGCATTAGGCTTGAGAGCTCATATAAATACTTTCTTATATCTATTGATTTGTTTATACTCGCTTAAGTCTTTTCCATGTAATCGAAAAATATACCACAATAAGTAATGCAGTGATTACTTCATAAGAAATATTTTTTTGATATAAGTGAGAAGTTATTTACACAAAGCTTAGCCTTTAGGCTTTAGCCATTTATATCACAAAGTGTTTGTCTATTTTACTATTTTCCAGTATTCATATTAAGTGTCTGGGTGATATCGAAAAGCCTAAAAGATCTATAAATAGTGGATCGTATATGCTTCATTTTCCTGTGACCATTTTGATTTTTGTCAAAACTTCATTAAATGTATTCTGTTCCATGCATATATTGCAGTACCGAACTTCGCTAACAATTACAAGGAGCCCTTGTTCTTGACCGACGTTTAGTAGAACCGCGTTTATCAGAAATGCCCACGCCAGTTCTTTAGCTTCTGTTAATATATAGCGAGGTAGGATGCTGTGTTTTGTGCATCTTTTTGTGCTTGAACTTGCATGAGTTGTATTTGTATTGTAGTGTTGATATGGTGACCTAATTAAGGCCACAAGTAGACCGAATGAGTCATTGTTGTCGTCAGAGTGGGGCGTCATATTCTGCCATTTGGCTGTTGTTGTTCGGCGGTAGCCGATACTAGCACATCCATTCACTACAACTAAAACGTCATCTGCCTGTTTGTCCATATACGTGTGCGTATCGGTGGCCTTGGGGTTCATCGCAAGGCCGGTAAGGAAACTTGTTGGCTTGCTTTGGTGGCTCCACTGGCAAGTCCTCACCAAAGTCTAGATTGAGCTGTGACTACCGGCAGCATCTGAACCACGGGAACGAGTGGGCCACATATGCTGTTGTCAGTGGCCTTCTTCTCCTGTTACTATGAAAGCTGCTATCACAACTACTGCTCTGCCGTGTCATGCCGTCCATTCGCCAAAAATGCGCGCGGAGCTAGCCCACACCTGTGCCATCTAGCGGTAGGTTATTGCGTAATCGTGTTGTTCATTTGCTAGTATTGTTGTTCAGATCTACTGCTGTTAGTAAAAGCCTCATACTGCTTAAAGGGTTGGCGGGACCTTCACATCCTCACCGGCACGGCGCGGGTCGTTCACTTTCTTCTATAAGACAGCACGCAAACGACGTCAGACCCGGCATAAGCCGCCGCTTTGTCGTGCATTGAGCTCATACGCTATGAAGATCCGCAGAATTTAAAGATGAGCTGACTGTTGTATAGTCAGCTCAAGCGACATGGAACGCCGTTTGCAAGGAACGTGATACACTAGATTGATCGAAAGATGAGAACGATTTTCAACTGCTAACACACTTAAGTTGGGGGCAGATCTATCTCTGTCGTGTCCTTCCGGTGTTTGTATTGACCCATAGTGGGTATGCAAGTAAGTGACGCCAGTCGTGACTTTTTTTATTGTGGATTAAGAGATCCCGAAAGTGATACTTGTTTTTATCTCAATTGCATATGCAACCCGAATTTTACTACCCTAAAGAGCGATTAAACTAGGTCTTCAAAATAATTACTCTATCTAAGAAACATCGGAAAAAATACAGTTTGTTGTATTCTCATTTCAGGAATGCCGACAGAAGAAAAGGACGGCAACAGCCAGTGGAAAAGATCTGTTTATCGTTAACAACTTACATCCAAGTCTGTAAATATTATTTGTATAATACTCGTGTCTGCATATAAACATCCTCACCAGATTCGAACAAGATTAAAAGCGAAATTATTAATGGCTTCATTACACTAAAAAAAGTTTTATGGAAAGTTTGAGTAGATGCAGTTTCAGAAGCATTAATAGCACGTCAAGTCTCGATTTTGGTATAATGTGTACTCTTATAGGGAGACTACAATGTATCATTTGTGCATGAGCGCTACCAACTCCTTGGACCATGCTTGTTGGAATGAACAACATGTGTACAACATATATGCAACAATGCTGTTTGGCCTCAATACACTATTTTACCTCGGTTTTCTAACCACTTTAAGTCTAAATATGTAACTATTATCGTTTCGTAGTCTGTAAGTGTCCCGTATTTAAATGATGTTGTCCTGTCAATTTAATGTTGTCCTGTTGTTAAAAAAATTAAAAACAAAAATGCCGTGCTTGCCTCGAGGTTAACGGGGCTCGTTTGTGTTATGTGTTTGTGTTCGTCCGGCAGCTGATTAAATCTGCTTTAAGTAGATTAGAATTGTTGCTGTTACTCTCGCATAACTCTGTAAACTCGTAAAAGAAGCAGTAATCATTTATGCATAGTAGCAATAATAATAGCGGTAAAATCCGTGCATCCATTAAGCTAATGCCAACATTACAAAAATGTGATATACTAGTATATAAGAATGTGCTTGCATTATACAGAAATTAGCATTGTATCGAATAACCGTAAAAAAAAATGTATTATTATTATTGAGAAATAAATGTTTTAAAGCAACACACCTAGCAACTTTTTTTCTTGGATTGATGAGATATTGTTACTTTATTGTCTTTTTTTAAATACTACGCTAATTTTTTTCTTTATGCTTCTTTTTCTTTTAGCTCTGTACTGATGAATTAATACCTCTGTTGTCTATGGTTTCCACTCGAGTGGCTGATATCTCCAGACTGCCAAGAAATTAGATGAAATTGTAATAACTGCTATTGTGCAGTATAAATGCTGCCATCCAAGGTACTTTATTTGGGCTCATAATTTGTTTATATAACTGCTTCTCGCGATACTAATAGTACGGGAGTTTTACATATCCCAAGTTATGGAGATATTTATGCTCAAAACTTGTTTAAACTCATATCTGCTGGCATATTTGGACAACAGTGTGTAAAGAGTAAAATAATTTATTTAATTAAAAGGTAGTGTACCTTCTAAGGACTATATGCTGATACTAAATGAAAATAGTTTTTTCTTTAAATGATTTCTTAGTGAGATTTTATATATCATCATGAACTGGTATCAATAACTATGATTATTTGTTAGTTTAAAAATATCGCTTCTTTAAAGATATGCCACAGAACCTGAAGTACTGTACCAGACGTAAGAACATTAGATTAGCAGGCTTTTCTTGGAGACGTCAGTGTATTTTGTTATTGTTGTTTTTTTGTGAATTTCCACGTTCTCACAACAAATGCAGCAAAAATCGACCGTATTATACATAATTGTACACAAAAATAAGGTGACAATTATGCCTTTCACAGAAAAACAAAAAGGCTCTTGTTTAAAAATTGTATAACCATTATTTTAGTATTTACTAGTTTCAAGATCATTATAGTACTCCATTGCATAATAGATACATACAAGACGTCTGATTGAATGTCCAACGGCGGTGTCGGACGTAAAAAAATCTCAAATCACAGAGGTGTAAACAAACCCTATCGATGGAAGTTGTGTGGTAAATGTGGAGGGTCTAAAGTAGGTTCTTCGACCCCCGCATTTGTGGTAAATAAAAATTGCTTATAGCAAACTATTCAAATATTTTCACAAATACCGACCCAAGAGAGCAGCTGGTCAATCCTCTTTTCGAAATACTGGCCGCTCCTTTTATTTGTTCTTACTACAGCAAGTCGTTTTCTGATACCACGCCATGAAAGTCCAATTAGAAATTAATAGTTTGATGTTAAACAGCTAATTTATTGCACAAAGCGTAATTACAAAATCCTCAATAATTTAGTATTAAGGGCTTCGTTTGATTTACTTGCAATGTATATTATTCAATACTGCAACGTCATACGTTTATATTGTTGGAAACAAATCTATTTTGTATTCAATATGATTCTATACAGCAGAATTTTTTAAAGTGGCTTCATATATCTCGCCTTTTTGAGAAGTAAAGTTCGAATGGTCTTCTGGCATTTACTGGAGTCGCCATGAAGAAAACGAATTTTTCTTTATAAGGTACGTCGCAAGGTTAAGAAAACGGTAGGGCCGCATAGGCCAAATTTACTTAACGTCACCGTTGCGAATAATCGTGGCCACGCAAAAAAGCAAAATGAAAAACACCACTGTGTTTACTAAAGCTTCAGGTTTCGTGACCTATAACGATAGCGCTTACAACAATTCGTTAGTTTTCAAGAAAATTTCAGTGGGCAAAAGGCTGTCTTTGGCCCATAGAGCTCACAACGCGTGGTTATATGGGTTAACGATGGGTCTGTATGAGCTACAAGTAACTTTACACTATGAAAATCAATCAAACTAAAGGGAAAATCTTCGTCTGCTAAGAAGGAATTCTCACATTGGCTAGAGAGGATGTTGCTTTATAATACTTTATTGCTAAGCCAGCTAGATCAAAGGTCATCATTTATGTACAATAGATCCTCACAACATGTTAGTTGGTCTGATGGAAGTCTTTGAATGACCCAAATATTGGTATATTTAAGGGTTGTACCTTATATAGATATGAGGGAGAATCATACTCACATGAGCAGTTTTTCAAAGCTAACTCCGTCTCACGAAAGCCTGTGCAACCGTCGTGGTCATCTTTGATTAAGTAGTCAGAGTTTAGTTACACCTTGTCCAGTTATCCACGATTGCGGTATTACGAATTACTATTGGTTATTTATAAATCATGCCTGTTATTATCCAAAATACGATGCATATATCGGCCATGTTATTCAGTTTTGGCGTTTCACTATTGTAATGCGATTATCACAGTTTTTTCAACAAAAACAGCCTTAAACATATGGTTTTTGAATAATAGCACCACTAATTTGAGCTACAATAAGTACAAAAATACGATGCTGTAGTTTATATATATATGCTCTGTGACTGAGCTGGACTATGAGACAAATTAACTTTTCCAGTTTATACGTTAAACTAGCAGTCGAGGGCATTTTGTTTCATATATCTCAAATACACTGGTCCATTTGAGCTTTAGGGTGGTCACAGATTCCGTTTTTTGAAAAATATAGCTCCAAGGCAGACGGAAATATGAGAAAAGAAACTTATTATTTGAACAAACATATTTGCTTAACGAATATTTGCTATAACTCAAAAAATATATAGCTGGTTCGGGCAATACCAGCTTTTGATATATAATCAGAAAACAATCCAACAACCCAAATTGCACCGAAATGATTATAACGTTTAATCCATTTCCCACACCTTGTCTGAAACAGAATTTTTCTTAGGAGCGCTTAAGACAAAAATGTGTCAGGAAAAAAATATGAATTACTGCTGTTTAAAGTACATCGGAGTGCAATCTTCACGCAAATGACGTCTTTGCACAATATTAAATATGAAGTATGCCTGCGGTACTGAAGGACAGAATTAAGTCTAACTGACATCAGAATCAGAAAAATTTCACGATTGTCGCCTCTTTCATTTTCGAAAGAAGGAAGAATAATAGCTGTAGTGGCTGTTAGCTGCTAGATGTTTTCCGAAGCTATGCCATTGGTGCCCTAAGCGGCGACCCCACAGAATACAACACACAGAGAGGCAACAGCGGTCTTAGTCGATAAGATGTGGTTAGCCTTCAGTCCTACCTGGACCCGACAACCAGATCAGTACCCCCCCCCCCGAGCTAAGAACGTATGCTGTGTAATGTAAACATAGCCCTTCAAGTAACGTCCAAGACATTCACGATTCTTTTACTACGTATTGATGCCTGTCCCGTAAAAAGCGCGCCCTAGCGACTTTTTAGAAACTGTGTTTTATTCGGCTCGGGGCTGTATCCCGTTAATATCGGCACAGAAGGCATTGGGAGTCAAGACTTGTTCAATGCTGCGCTATGCGGCCATTATTGATAATTGCTGCTGATATTTAGTTGGTGTTGCTGTACTTCATGTTGTTGTCGTTTGCGACGATTGCGCAAAGATTAAAAGTGAAGCGTGCTTAGTTGGACGGCGATTGGGAATGGAGAGTGCGTTGACGGCAGAGCGCTTCGGTGGGTCAAGGCTAGATGACGATATTCTGATTTGGTGTCCATGCGGGTGATCCTGGGTTTTCCTTGGCTGTAGGGGGCGACTGGGCGTGTGAATGATTCGTGGTCGTCGTTTCTATCGATAAAGCTTACGAATACAATACTTGAGTGATAAATGGACGAAATTGATGCCGCCGATACGAGGCAGGAAGGCTGCTGCGCTGTCTACTATTTTTCTGTATTTATATTCTTACGCAAGCTATTTTATATAGTAGTATGTAATATATATAAGCAAAAGGTAATAACAATACCATAGTATGTGTCTCAAATAATGTAAATTATTATCATGAATATAAACTGAATAACAACAATAACGATGGTGGTAGTTATAATTAGTCATCATAAAACTTCCCACATGCTTCTAAATGAAATAATTAGCACAAAACTGGATTTTCTTGATACTATTACTTAAACAACTCATAACAGATAGCGAGTTATTAATGTAACACTGTGTTTTGCTATTATGTAGTATTATGTAAAAATTATTGTGTGCTATCATTTTATGGATTTTATAGGATTAGAAACTTGAGGTTCTTTTACCTTTATAATAATAATACAATGATAAGATATCTTAAACATTTACTGTAACAGACGATTTGCAGAGTTCATCTTGAATGATGAGGAGCAGAAATGCATTAAGGTCAGCTATGTGGATAAATTTAATGTATTATGTTAATATAACTAAAACAGTTTCGGTTACGCAACTTTAAGCTAGTACCTAGCACAAAATGAGGTGTGCTTCCGCTTAGTGTCAAGCTGGAACATCCTATATGTTCTTGGCACATATTTATTTACTCGTATTAAGGATCCGCGATCCCAAAGATCGGTTTGTCAAAGGTGCTTATGTTTGCTTTTATTTTAAGAAATTATGTTACCAATTGTTCGAAAAACGTATGTACGATAAACATAATAGAGCGACCACATTATACCCACAGTTATATCTACATCGTTTCGGACAAGGACCTCGATATCAGTGCAGTTCGGAAAACGGAGCAAATTAAATCGTCAACAATGTTTATGCACCTCGATACGAGGAGCAGAGTAACTCTCAATATATTTCTGCACACGCTCCCAGTTGTCTACGGTTAATCTACCAGGTGTGACAGCACTCTAAATCGGAGACACTTCTGACATCACGAATGTTGGCGCATAGGTTAATTCTTCACTGAAAAGCTGAGGCCTCCATGGTTTTCAGTTATTCTTTACTAGCTGTGTCAAGATGACAGTAATCTGAGCAAATTATACTAGTTAATAAATTAATTATTAATTAGTATTTATTATTATTAAGTTAGTATTAGTATTAAATTAGTATTAGTATTAGTATTAAGGCGTATTCTTAAGATATTATCTTAAGAATACGTCTTCTCATATGTCACAAGCACGGTACATTTTTCGAAAGTTAATGCAGATTACAAACAAGAGTAGCAGTGTTAATTTCATCAAGCATTTAGGGCCATTACTCCTTAGAAGAGCGTTTCTTGTTAGATAAGTCGAAGATATTATTAAATGCTTCATTTTTATTTCTCTAAACCTAGATAAACTCTTATTCAAAACATCAAAAATGCCAACTGTGTATACATTAAATGAATATTTCGTCGCAACATAGAGCAGATTTTGCTAGAAAGCTCAAGTCAGATGTGTCTATGATTCAATGCACTATTACTTAATGTACAGAAATTAATGTAAAATATAATTTATACAGCTAATATTGTTCAAAGACTATAAAAAGCTGTGAAAATGAAATATGTTTTTGAGAACACAACGGTTGTGTCTAAAATAAAGTGAAATATATTCAGTGATTTCTTTAGAGATACACACAAACAGGATATCATATCATTAAATGACCTTTGCTAATTTCAATAAATGTGTGTTATAAATATGATAATTTTAATTGATTCTTTAAACTTAGTTTAACACGAAGATTATCAACAGGATCATAATGAATCACAATACTTTAGATGATAGTTAGATTTCCGCTTTAGCCCCACTACAATTATCCAGTTAATTTTTATTGCATGTGCAGAAGCCTGACCTATGTGAGAGGCGTTTTTGAAAAACTAGCTGCTGAGATGTGAGGTAATATTCACGCTGGTCATCATATTGAAAGATTTCAATTTCAAATTAAGAAGATTAGTGACATATAGCAGATTTGCAGGTGAAGGTGAAACCAGGGCAGCTCAATGAGTTGATAACGTGAAATATATATATTTACCTATTGAATAAGTATAATAAAGATGATGTGCATCAGTCCACTAAATAAGCGTTGTTTATATTAAAATATAAGATCTGTATTGAGTAAAAGTGCTCTTAATTTTTAGAGTTAGCGGGACAGGTCGATCCCAAACAATCGTATGGCAACCACTAATAGAAAGTCCTAGGAATTTGCATTTTACTGTAGTCTGTAAAAGCTGAATTGTGAAAGGCTCAAATTAACTGAATTGACAATCCATTGAAAATCGGCTTTGGTTTTGATATGGGTTACAAAAATACTACCCACTTTGAGTTTACTGATGATAGTACAGCAGGTTTATAGTAATGCTTTATATAAGGAAAGATGCGTTTCAATGAGGTTAAGATATTCTCATTTTCTCTATTTTCCGCTTATGACATTAAATGCAATGCTGCCGGTTTGGGATTTTAGGGCCCCGGTTACGATTCTGAATGAAATGTCTAAAGGAAATGTCTGAATGAATAAAGGATGTTTTATATTGGTAGATTTATCCACTATTATGACTAGTGCAGCTATTTTCTAAATGTTAATTATATGGCACTATGTATTGAGTATTCCTTCAGACAAAAAAGAATGCTTATTTAACATTTACCTTTTGTCTGAAAAATCTGATTTACGATGATCCTTAGATGCCATTTCTGAATGGGTCAATATACAGTGGGAACGCAATATTATTAAATGGAGAATTCGAGCGTTACTACAAGATGGTGGATGGTCAAAAGTTGCTCTCTAGTCTTGACAACCTCAGGCTAGGACTAGCCAAGAGTCTCTCCATGCATCGTCGAAAAGCCTTGCTTAACGGTGCACTTCAGCTTCGAGACGGCCTTGCGCTCAATATCACTCTGTTCAACTGATATAGCCTACATATAGCGCACACGTTGCAAAAGCTGACCGACTCGCATAGTTGTGGCGAGCCTGCTAGCGCACCAGTATTAGCCGCGGCAAACATGACAATCAGCGTGCGTATCTCCAGATCAGTGCTAACCTAAATCGGTGTTCCTCAAAGCAGCGTAGCCAAAAAAACTTATCTGAATAATATAATACACGTGGCCACAAAAGCAAAAAATATCAAATGAGTTTTTATTAGTCGGTGTGCGGTTGACAGGCTCAAAGACCTCATTCAACCTGTTGTTGAAATTTGTTTTAATAAGTTCAAAAAGCAACATTGTTTGGTTTACATACTTGGGTGCCAATCTTTGGCTGAAGACCTTTCTGCTGGTTGTCAGTGGAGGTAAAACAAGAATAGAATTTAAGTACCTACAACAGTACCGAAATGGCAGTTTTTATGCGTACGTCTGTAATCTATGAAGGTGCTAGCACAGTATACTCACCTGCATGAACGGCTGCAATTTAATGTAACTCTGTGTAGAACGCGTTAACATTTCTTCTTATCGGAAAGCTGTCCAATTATTTTGAGTACAAAGTGACAAAAAAGACAGTTATTTGAGTGTGTTTCCCGACTTCTGTTGTATGTGGAGTATATGTACTCGTAGGCGCCTGCCGTAGTGAGCAAAGAGATCAAAATACACTACACTATAAAATGCAGGCTTCGTGCAAAAAACAGCCACTCAGAGAAGCACAAGAATAAACTGCAGTGTACAATTGAGCCTCTAATATCGTGTTTAAGCTGCTTAAACCTAAGTTTGCCTAATAACTGATAATGACTTATATAGAATAGTTCCGATGGATGTCGTAATAAACTGAAGTGTGCAAAATAATAGTGAGACTAAATCGCTTGAAACGATTAGTGTGTAAGCTGGTGTCAGAGGTCAGCTTGTGTGGTTTAGATATTAGGACTAAAAATCGGAAGCATAACCGTTCTGATGTAACGGGACATATCGCATGCATCGTGAGCAGACTCTGTTGAATTCTATCTTCGCAAGATGACTTCATACGATGTAAATCTATCCTTCGTCCAAAAACTCAAACGCCAGTCTCCCTATGAAGTGCAGCGTCGCAAATCGGTGTGTATTTTGGCAACAAACAGCAGTAGCGATAAAAAATCGAAAATAAAAATAATTCTTTAAGCAAACGAAGCCGGCTGACTAACCACATGCACGTACTGCTAGGGTTTTGGCCTATTGCTGATTACAATTGAGAGCTCGGGAATCCAATATACACACTGTCCAAAGTTACACAACCATTACCGAATCGACCCAATATATATATATATACTACCGAAAACAGATTACGATCAGGACTGTTATTACAGCTAATATCTAAAACAATGGTTGATGGCAGAGCCAGACGTAAAAATCGAAACATTATGTTATTATGTCACTTATAAGTATGAACCAGATGGAACCCAGGTTTCATTCTCTTTTCATTCTTCAGAACTTCATCAGAAAGGCGTTAGTGATCAAACACGATATGTTCCCAACGTATGACGGACTCACTGTGAGAACGTTAGAATATTGGACTCTTCTACGCAAGCAAGACAGAAAATATTGACTATAGCCTGCATATAAGGGCTGTGGCAGTGCCGTCGTATAAATCCGGAGTAAAGTCGCTCAGTCAAATCACAACTGCCGAGCAACGGCCAGTGGCTCTATGTACAATGATACGGCTTTTACAGGATTTGAAGACTTATATAAATATTATAAAAAAAAAAAACAAAATACTTGGATCAGAGTATTTAATAGTCGCATTCAGAATAGTCTTTTTGATAAGATAATTTTGTGTCGTATTGAATTTGTATAGAAGAACTGAATAATCGAGCCAAAGTAACGTATTTTATTGAAGCACTTTGAGCCAACGCTACGACAATATCAAGATAACACAGTGGTTTGATTCTGACTCGAACAACGTGGTGTTTTTCTGAAATCTTGCGCCGAACAGGTGAACCAGCTTTAAGGTTATTAGATGCACACAAGTCAGTTCTCGGCTTAGACCTTCACTGTTTCAATTCATAGCATTCGAGAAAAGTTTAAAATTTGAAAGAAGCTTTAAATTTTAAAGCTGCTTTCAAATTTAAGCTTTTCACGCGATGCCGACGAAAATTAAATTGAAAATTAAATTTTAATTTTCGTCGGCATCGCGCTACGGGCTCTAAGGTATTTGAACCTTTGTTGTTCATCCTTAGTAGCAACATTTCTGAACGTGGTTTCAAAAACATCTGTTTTGTATGAATGGTAACTTGATACGGAATTGATGGATTCAACCTTGGATTATCACTATTAGGAACTGTGGTTTTGTGGGCTTTGCAAAGAAATCTTTCTCTCATCTTCTACGGACTCAATATCCCGAGGCGTTCCAAAACGCAGAATTTCAGGCATGACTGGACGAAAGTTCTGCTTTAGCTGGAACTAGCTAATCAACTACGAGCAACTTAACAAGAAGTTATGTCTTACTTGCAAACAACAGGACAAATAAAAAAAGACAAAGGAGATCATTGTGGATAAGCCCTGGACAAATGTCCGAATAGATTAAGATACTTACGAAAAAAGATTACGGGTATTTTGTCTTGTATGAAAGGACTTTCCTATCATGAGCTCCTAAAATCCAAGATACGTCAGATAAGTTAATGCAGCAAATTGCGGGCTTCATCTGATTAAACAGAATAACTTAAATGATAAGGCAACGTGCTTTAAAAGTCGTAACATGATTTAGTTGCACGACAACACTCTCCTCCAGAGCGCTTTAAGAACGCTAAAAACCACCTTCTAGTTGGTGTGAGAATAGTCACATAGCTTATACACTTCATATGACTTACTCATATTAGAAGTTATCGATGCAAAATCTGCTAACCGGAAAACGCTTCTCCAAAAACAAAAAAAATTAAACTATCCCGACACAAAGCGCCTACAAAAGTACCGCAGGGCAACGTATGAATTGTCTGCTAAATGGTAACAATAACTGATAGCAGTTAGTATTCATTTTTTTACTGAGCTCTTAACACAGTTTCAGAAAATAAAGTTACACATTAGTCAGAGAACTGATAATTTGCTTTC